TGGCTGTGATTGCTGTGAGCATGGCCCACAGAAGTGTGCATGTGTAGGGGCATATTAACGTCTTCCTTAAGGGTTTCCACTAGCATTCAAACACGGATGTGCACTTCAAGACAGTTTTACACTCAGGCTAAAGTCAAATCCTAAATAAGAAGCAGAGCCAGAATTGCTGTCGGCCCTGTAAGTGGGCCATCATTCACAGAGAATGATGGCGTTCAGGAGTGTAACCCAAGATGATTCTGGGGTTTCTCAGGGTGAGCATTGAGTTACCTGGCCCTTACAAACACTTTCTCCTGATAGTAGGGTGTCCTCCCTGCGCTGACCAGGCTTTTACCTTTCCAGTTACATCTGTGGTGTGAGAGGTACCAGACTGCCAGTCACACACTTGTTCACTTAGGACTCACACGGGTTGCAAATAATTTGAGATTAATAAATATTCTTTGGAAGATACTTGCAGCTTGTTTAAGTGAAAGTTTGCCAATGTTATAATCAAGAAAAGTTGTTTTGTTTGTGGTTTGGGGTTTTTTTGTTGTGTTGGTGGTTTTTTGGTTGGGTTTTTTGTTTGTTTGTTTGGGCTTTTTTTTTTTTTTGCGTGTCTTTATGACACTGGCATAGATAATGCAGAAGGAATTGAACTGAGTAGCCAGAAGTACTTGAGTTTCCCTGTAAGGGAAATTAAAAGGGAAAATCCTACTGGAATATGTTAGAATTAAACTATAAAAAAGATTTAAATGTTTTCCATAAGACAAAAACGTACTTTAAGAAGTTTGAACAGGGTATATAGCACTGTGTCCCTCACAGTTACTGTAACTTGCCTGAAGTCCCCTCAGACTGATACTTGCCTGTTGGAGTACCTGCTTCTCTGCAGTGAAAAAGGGTCTTGTGTCTTTGAATGCCAGAAAGTATCTTCTCTCCCTTGTATTTCTGGGGCAGGGGGCGGGACACTCTGAACTGGGCAGTTTTTAGATCCATGCGGCTCATGGTATGTGAGCACCTGACAGATCTGTCTCATTCGTGCTTCATTCACTCGGGATGTAGGGACTGTTCCATCATGTTTGGCTATTCCATAGTCCCCTGGTAGCTCCACACCCTTCACACTTTTCAGAGTTTCATTGGTAAGTTACTGTCTTTTGATTCCAATGTAGAGCTCTGAGGTGGCATTTGAGTATTCTGGGGGAGAAGAGGGGTTACTTACTGTGCCTATTTTTCTCCTTCGAGTAGTGAATCAGAGCAATGCTTTGTTGTGCCAGGGAACAGAGGAGATTACAGGTGGGATGTAGCTCTCCTGGGCTCAGCCCTGCACTCCTTGCACTTTTTGTTTACTCAGGCCAGACTTTCACTCAGAGGTAAGTGAAGCCAAGAAAAGGTGAAGTTTCGTCTGGGGTTTAAGGAGAATCCACAGCAGTAAAGTAAGCTTAAGATAATAAAAAGGTCAGCTGAGGAATTAATTTTTAACATATGATTAAAATACAATGAAAGTGATAATAGATGTGTTGGAAAGTATGACACTATAAGCAAGAAGAAGGGTGTTTTTCAAGTCCTTATTTAAACAGTTTATAAAGCTAATTATGAAAGCTCATTTGTGACTTTTGGAACACCCACTGTTGTGTTTTTTATATATATGCACATGATCAAATACCATTAGCTTCCACTGGAAATTATAGTAGCTTATTCTGTCCCTGCATATCTGCCAGTTTGTCTGGAATGACATGATCATGCTACAAACTGTGCAGGGTGACTGCTTTTATCAGATTTAAGTTAGCAGTTAAAAGCGTGGTAGTAATAGAGACGCCTGATTGTTCAGTGTAAAAACAAAGGAAATATGGCAACTTGTTTTCTCTTTTAACAGCATTTTTTTCTCATACTGGTTTATAAAATCTAGCTAATCTTGAAGATAAAAAATCCCAATATTTTAGACTGTCACAAGAAACAAAAAAAATGTGGACTGAATTTAAGAAATCTTATTTAGATAAGGACATCTGTTACATTTCTAGGTAATTGCTAAGGGATATTTTTTAGCTGTACTAGTATAGTTATTTATGTGTGTACATATGTGTCTATAAATACATTAACATGTACACGTACAAGTAAAATTATAAATACTTAAAATATCATATTTCACATACTTGATACATCATGATGAACCTCTTCAGTGACATCATGAGAAATAGAAATAATAACTGGCAAGTTCATAGATGCCACATTGATAATTATTTCTCTCCTGTAGAGGGATATAAATGGCATCACACATAAACACACCATCCAGAAAGTGTATTTGTGCATGTGCTAAACTTAGTGATTAATAGCACATCATTGATTCTTAAACAGAAATCCATTCCAGTTTTTATGAACTGCCCATTTTTCAAGATTTGTCTCAGAGGAATGATTTTCTAAGTGACACAAACACTATATGACTCCCAGTTCTTATTAAATGATCTGAGGGCTAGTGAAATCCTTGCTTTTTATACCAGTGAGTTAGATTGCTTTCTGAGACAGATTCTTTGTCTTACCTAATGGATATTTTTGCATGAATGTCACAAAATACAGATAAAGATGTTTCAATTCTTATCTGCATTTTTTTCAAGCACAGCAAAAGAAAATCTTTCTCTTCACAATCCTTATGGAAGCTTAAAATTTAACAGTTGCCTTGCTCTGTGTTTCAGCAACACTGAGAGTAATACTCTACAAATGAAGTTTATGTCATACTATAGAAGCTTGGAGTTGTTCTCAGCTAAAATACTGAGTTGTGGCTGTTTAGATTTGGGTATTTTATCGTTGAACTTAATGGTGACAACTCAAACATTCTGTGAGCTCTGTGAGCTTCCTGGTTTTGTTTTATGTCATTTAATCATTATTTGTATCAAGGCAACCCTTTAAAATTCTTGATGTGATTTTTGGCTGAGTTATGTTGGCTTAAAGAAAATTTGCTTGGAAAACTTACTGACACTGAAGAAAAATACAGGACCTCAATTTCTGAGAACCCTCCAGCCAGTGGAGATATGTATCTTTGTATTGCACTTGGAAATGACATCCTTCCTGTATTATGTACCACAGGTTATACACATTGGTAGTGAAGGCAATGACTTCTGCAGTTCACCTCTGTGTGGTTAAGATGCTGTGAAGTATCTGCTCACTGTTTAAGCACTTCTCTTTGTGTACAGGGTCAATTTGCACACTCTGATCTTAGAAATAATTTTTTAAATTCATTTAAGTATTAGAATAGCTTTTTATAAGTGCATACTTTAAGAAATGCATTGTGTCACATTTTTAGTGTCTTGAATAATCTCAAGCCTGGGCAATACTGACCTGTAGTAAAAAGAGAAAAAAAATCATAAGTAGTATTAGTGAATGAAGGATGATTGAGAATAAGTTAGATGGTATTATTTGTCATCTTTTAATGAGTTATTTTTCTTTCACTAATCACTAGATAATTCTTCAGAAAAGCACAGAAAAACCCCCTGCTTTTGTTGTAGTCATCACTTGGTGATCTTAGTAAGAGATACAGTAAAGTGTACCTCTAGGGAAAAAAAAAGATTGCTACCTCTGTTCACCTTACACTGCAGGGTTTATCATTTTTCAGGAGTGCAGATTAACTTAATTTTTTTGAACAATAGAAGGTACCATCTGTCTTTATAAAGAACAGTGTGTGGTCTCTGTGCCACTGGATGCAAAGGTAATGGCAACCATTCTGAAAATGGACCATAATTTATAAATTAAAGAAGATTGAATGTGATAACTTTTGCTGATTAATAAGTTTTTGTTACAAGTATTAGTAACAAAAGAACAAGCCACAACTTTGAGTACTCATTATCTGAGCCACCTGTTTTGCTTGGTCTGGATAGAAAACAAAAAGCGAGGCAGAGGGAACTGAATGGAGGCACAGAATAATGCAAAGAACAGAAGAGAAATGAAATACTGAACTTAGGGTTATGCTAAACTACTTGAATCCATCCAATATAACATTATTCATTTCACTGTTCCTACATTTTCCTACTCAAAATGAGAACATTCCCAAATGGCAGATTAGTTCTGACCAAAGATGAAACCAAACTGAATGTATCTTCAAATGGTTTAGTAAAAAAGATACAAAATTAATTAATTATTCCTTTAAAAATTAATACTGCTCAAGACTAAAATTACTTCACCTTCCAAAAGATTTTTAACTTCACAAAATTAGGATTGAGGATTAAATTTTAAAATAATATAAATATATTAAATTAGGATTATAAAAATAAAGTATTCTAACAATTTATTCAGTTTTGGGCTACTATTTTGAGATTAAAAAAAAAAAAAAAAGATTTAAAATTGTTTTAGGACCTGAGACACTATTACACAAAATTGACATTTCATTGCTGTTATGATCCATAGTTTATTGTTCTTTTCTGGAAAAGGAATTTAGTTATATTAAAGGAAATGTGGTTTTGTAGAATATCAAATATCTGTTTTTTAGGGGGAGTTTTTGTTGAGTCAACTTTGTGGGGATAAAAAGTGAATTAGTATTCCAGGATTTACAAAAACACAGAATACGAATGGGTGTGTTGTGTCCTTTTGTGTGACAGTATGCTATTCTGCAGTTATTGGTATTTAATTGCCTCATAGTAAAAGCAAGTTATTAAAAAGGTAACTTGAATAACCTTAACTAAAAGACTGACAGAAGTTCAGTACAGACTTTGGAAATGCTTCATCTGGAAAACCAGTGACATCATTGTTGGAAATCACAGTAAATATGCCACCAAATATAGTACTTTTTCTCAGTGGTAATATCCTACCTGTAATGATGAATGTCTTTTCTTCTTGGGAATTGTAAGATACATGGGTATTTTGGCAAGAGTGTAAGTATAAAAATAAAAAGATGAAAGTGTAATTCAGTTATATTTATGAAATATTTGGAGGTTTTTGAACAAGAAGATAATTAGACTTTTCCAGTAGTGGTGAATTTTTTTTTTTTTTTTTCTCCATACAAATTGTTATATTTGAATAATATAATTATTGTTATGTAATTATTATGTAAGTATTTCTGAAGGTATTGAAATTAGCTGAAAATTTTGCATTTTGTTTTCAGTTGAAGGTTGACATATAAAATACAGGTGTGTTCATTAGAAAAATAAAATGTACTTCTTACATATATTCCAGTATTCTTACATGCATTCCAATTAGGAACAGGCCAAGGATAACAAAAGTGACACCAGCAGGTAACAGCTTGTTTCTCAGTTGAAGACAACTTGTGAGAAATCTGATTGTGTACTTTAAGCCTTTCCAAATCCGAAGTTCTGTCACTGCCTAGAATTGGACATAGGAAGCCCATCATACATGAATTGTTGGAAACTACTGAGAAGCTATACACCAATTGTTTGTCACAGAATGGAGGTTATAGGGTGCAATTTTGTATTCCTAAGAAAATCTCTGTGCACACTTTGTAAAGTGCCTTTTTTTTTTTTTTTAATAATGTGGTGGTGGTGGTTCAGTAACAGCAGCTGGCAGGACAGTAAGGAAAATGCCATAGAAACCTTTCCACCATTCCTCTCAGAAGTTCTGATTCTTCCCAATATTTTAGGTTACTCAAATAATTTGTTCTTCTTAGAAATCAACAAACTCAAACTTGACTAGGCTTTGAGAACATGCCTGGTGGTGGTGTACACATTCCAGAATTAAACTGTAAATTCCATAGGCTTTGAGTAATTACTTTTCTGTGTTTGTACAGTGCGAAAATAGCAGAGACTTGGACATTACTAACTTCCTGAATGCTGGAGTAAGTAAATCCTGATAACAATAGCATGTTTAGAGTTAGGCAAACTTTGTATCACACTCCGACACAAGTGCAGTTATATTAATCGAAGATTAATGATTTGAATATTCCGTTTAAGTGAACTGTTGTCCACCTGTTCTATTCGAAAAACAGGCAGGTTAAAGGCATCTCAGGTGAAGAAAACAGAAGTAATGTTTTAAAAATATTTAAATCTCGTAGAAATTTTAGTTACAGACCTTTCTTGCTTGGTGTGTGTAGATATATATATTTTATATATATACTTATATATATATAAAACCACATGTATGAGCCAGGTGTAAGCACTAAACATCCTACTTCTGTGTTCATCAAAACCCATGGCTGCATGGTCACAGGGCTTTGTTGTTCTTAACGTAAGTGTGCCATAGTTTACAAGGAAGTGCATTTAAGAATTGTCATTTTTTGAGAATCAATCTGATGTGCCCCGGCATTGTGCAATTGTAAGATATTTTTTAACGTTAATCTAATTGCTCTAATGTTCTTATTGTAGGTTATAAATCTGAAACAATGGGTGACTGGAGCTTTCTGGGGAGACTGTTAGAGAATGCTCAGGAGCACTCCACAGTTATTGGCAAGGTTTGGCTGACAGTACTGTTTATCTTCAGGATACTGGTGCTGGGGGCTGCTGCTGAGGAGGTCTGGGGAGATGAGCAGTCAGACTTTACATGCAACACTCAGCAACCTGGTTGCGAAAACGTTTGCTATGACAAAGCCTTCCCCATTTCTCACATCCGCTTCTGGGTGCTGCAGATCATTTTTGTGTCCACTCCAACCCTCATCTACCTGGGCCATGTGCTGCACATTGTACGAATGGAGGAGAAGAGGAAAGAGAAAGAAGAGCTAAAAAAGAAGGGAAGCATCAAAGACAGCAGCTACCCAGGAGCAGCAGTGTCTGGCAGTGGTGGTGGAGGAGGCAGCAATAGCTTCAAGGATCCTCTTGGTAAAAGAGGAAAAGAGAAGCTCCCGATTCGTGATGAACGTGGTAGAATCCGTATGGGGGGTGCCCTGCTCCGTACCTATGTCTTCAACATCGTTTTCAAGACACTGTTTGAGGTGGGATTCATTGTGGGTCAGTACTTCCTATATGGCTTTGAGCTAAAGCCGGTTTATCAGTGCAGCCGCTCACCTTGCCCACACACTGTGGACTGCTTCATCTCAAGACCCACTGAGAAGACCATCTTCATCATCTTCATGTTAGTGGTGGCCTCTGTCTCCCTGTTGCTGAACATGCTTGAGATATATCACTTGGGGTGGAAGAAGCTTAAGCAGGGCATGACAAGCCGGTACAGCCTTGAGATGCCTGTTGCAACAATGACACCAGTCATGGTAACAGGGGAGCCCAAACCTGTTGCCCTGCCACCCCCAGCACCACCCGTGGTGGTAACGACTGTCGTGCCCACCCCTGTTCTGCCTGACACCCGCGCTGTCACACCGTTGCTGGCCCCAGTGACCATGGCACCATACTACGCTGCAGCTGCTCCAAGACCACGGCCCCCCTCCAACACGACCTCTGTGGCCAGCTACCCTGTTGCTCCACCAGTTCTTGAGGAGAGGCACCGTGCTGTGACCCCCACACCCATCTCTACTCCAATCACCATCCCGACCCCCATCCCCACACCGACACCAGCCGTCATCAACTACTTTAACAGCAACAGCCATGCCATGGTGGCCGAGCAGAATTTGATCAACATGGCAGCTGAGCAGCAGCAGAAGGCACCCTCCAGCTCCACAGGATCCTCTACCCCCAGCAGTGTCCGGCATCCTCTTCCCGAGCAGGAAGAGCCAATGGAGCAGCTACTCCCACCCCCAGTGGGGCTGCCCATTGCTGCAGTCAACAGTGGCAGCAGCACCAGCCTGAGTGGGGCAAGTGGCAGCAAGTGGGATGTGGAGGGTGAGGAGGAGGTGCCAGAAGAACGGCCTGTCTTGCCTGCCTGCACCACTGTGGAGATGCATGAGCCACCGCTGCTCGTAGACACACGGCGCTTGAGCAGGGCCAGTAAGTCGAGCAGCTGCAGAGCCAGGTCAGATGACCTGGCAGTGTAGTGTGGTCGCCTCTGCTCCGAGGAGCGGGTGGTGGAAGGCAGAGAGGGCAGGGGAGCTGCTCGGGGCAGCCAGGCCTTGCATGGTGGGATGGCCTGGGCTTCAAACTTTGACGCTTGCTGTTTTTGCACTCTGTGAGTTGTAGTGGGAAAAAGTACCAACATTTTCTAATAGGTCAGGGGTGACCGAAGCACAGCTCATGGGCCAGGGGACCAATCATGCTTCCCTTCACATGTCTATGGCAGATCTCCCAAAGGCAACTGTAGGGAAGGCCTGCACAGATAAGAGGTGGTGATGGTTGCTGGTCATGTGTTCAGAGGCTGAACTTCATCTGAGAAAAATGTTAATACCCCAGTGCCCACGTGGCTGCCTGTCATCTCCCTCTTGCCCTTGCCTTCACTTCCACCCTTCTTCACATAAGCTCTACACGAGCAGATGCAATGACTTACTTTCTTCCCCTTAAATCTTGCATAGCCCTGTGGCAAACATCAGGGTGGCATTGCCAGTTGGCACCTGTCACCTCAAAGGACCAACTTGCCATATTAAAGGGGACTCAGTCTCTTCCACATAACATGACTTAATGAAGCCTTTGTGCTCATGGCAAATCGCCAGTGTGGTCCTTGGCCAGGCAGAGTTTAGGTAACCCCTGTAATAGATTTTTGAGATTCATCTTTCTATAATTTTTTCTACTCGACCTGTTAGGAATTGTTCAGTTTGACCTTCTAGTCAGTGTTTGCCGACCATGATCACACCATGTTTTTAAGCCTACACATATGTTTGAACATGTTTGATTATAATTTTAGATGACTTCTGAAATTGCTTAGAGGAGGACAGGAATTTAAACCACACCTCAGAAATTATTACACAGAACAATTTCTCTTCAGAAAGCAAGGATTATGATTTCAATACACTGTGACCCTATACATTGCCCATGGACAGACAATAGGATAAAGTACAGCTCTGCATTTTAGACTATTAGGTATCAGCTTAAGTTTGTTGGGAAAATGCTTTTTAGATGTAAACTTGAGTGCATATTTTTAAGTATTTGAATATTTTGAGAATTGATTTTGATCTGTAGGTTTAAAATTACTAGACTGTGTAATTAATCATTTTAGTTTGATCTTACAAGAAAACGTAAGTGGAAAGACCCTTATTAATGGTAAAATTCCCAAAGCAACATTATTTCCTGTTGTGTCCTACCCTTTCCTTTAACTACAGTCTGTTGTGTCTTGTAGGTCAGTGAAAAAAGATTTAGACAATATTGTATTGCAGAAAAGGTGGCTAAAATATCTGTACCACATGCTAGTGGCTGATGGGTCTGTTCTGATCAAACTGAAGTCACTTGCAGGATTTCCATTCAATTTAACAAGGAGCAAGATTTGGGGATGGATCTTGCAGGCCTTATTCAAGCAAAACTAACATTCCCATAGAGTCTTGGGAGCCAGAAAGAATGTAGATTTGGGGCCTTAGATAAAGACATTAAAATCCTGCTTTTGAAAATTATGTTTCCCTTGAAAAATGGGTGGAGGAAACTACTGATATCTTTTTCTAAAGTGCAGCTTTCCTTACAGCTCGCTCTGTTCTTTATTCCTTTGTAACAAGTACTCTCACAGACATCAGAATTTTGAATGCCTGATAAGGCTCAGGAGAGTTTGGGTATAAAAAGGAATGCAGGATTAGGCCCACTTTCTGTTCTAATTAAAATCCAAAAGAACTGAAGCTCGGAGTCAGTCCTATTGCTGCTATAAATCAAAAGTACTGTAATTGAAGAAGAGCAGTCAAACACACTGGGCTAACCCTTTGCATCTTCAAAGTGTTCGGCCTGGCAGAGGAGTCCTTATTCAAGCACGTCAAGGTCACCCTGTGGCAAGCAGTTACAATTGCCAGTTACCTCTGCTGTTAAATGTTTTCCTGAATGTGTTGAATTTATTCAAGTGTTAAAATATATTCCCAGCACTCAAGATTAAACCTGTATTTTTACTGCTTTCTGAGTAGACATAAGTAAACCCTGTGTAGTTTCTCATGATCAGAAGCACTGTTCTGCAACTCTTGGCCATGATGTCTCATTACTTCCTTGACCTGCCTGTGATGAACCAGGTGAGGAGAAGTCTTTCTGCTGCCACTGACCTTGGGGGCAGACACTGCATTAAAAATCAATGTACAGTAGTACAATAAAGGTATTTTCTATTAGGTGTTCAGCTTCAGGCATGCTCTCATGAATTTTCTATATTATAAGCCATAAAAACCCTTTCTGCAAGAAAGATAACAAGCTAAATTCTACTTTATATTGTATCCATGCAACTATGCTGAACTTAGACTAAAGTTGATAAAGTTGCTTAGATGTAAACAAATGCATTTTGATACTCAAAAATTCTGTAGATTTACTAGCATCTATGCTAGCAGTTATGTAAGTTTTGCTAAACACCAAGAACTTGGTACTACTGATATAAGGCAGTATGCATCTCTGTATTTTTGTACGTCAAAATTCATGGGCTGCATTTTCCTTTCTTTTATGCTTCTAAAGAATAAAGTCAAAGTCTCTCTGGAATGTATTTATAGAAACCAGACCACCTGGAATACATGGGGTTTTTGTATCAACGCCTGAGAGCAAAACTGACTTCTTGTTTGATGGAACTCTGAATCTTGCAGTCCTTACTTTAGAACAGTCTTTACAGAGTGTGTCATAAAGGATTGCATCTGTATGATATATAAAAAATAATGACAAAGATAGGTTTAACTTAGGATCAACTGATACCTAGTCTACCCTTTTCAAATTTAACGTGTGGCTAGACCTGCGGAGAGTTCAGGTGCTTTTGTGGTATATATGGTATTTTCAGGCAGAGTAACTACTGGAAAGCTGTTAAAGATAATTTTTCCTGTTAGGTGAAGCTTGGGGGGGGAAATGTAACTCTACTAAAAGTCCCTAAGAGAGATCTGACAGAGCAGCCCCTGCATCCAAGCAGTACTGGTCTAAAAAAAAAGCAAAGCTACAACTCACAAGTTGTGCTTTTTAAATCAGTTTAAGTTCCATCATGTAAATATACAGTGTCAAGCCTTTTCATTACCTACAATTTCATTTGGAGTCCAGTAATTGTTTCTTCACTTAAGCCCAGATAACTCTTGGCAGACCTCCCCCTTAGTGCTTACTAATCACTTTTAGCTGCTGCATCACATCTGGAATCAGGTTTGATGGGGAAAAAAAACCCTATTGGTGTGGCTAATTTTGAGTACTTTACAGATGAGTCATTACTGAATTCTACATGCTATGAGTAAAGCATAATTATGAAGACTTCCATAGTTCTAGAAAATACATGCAAACACCTAATAACTTACTGAACAGAATCTATTGGCAAATATAATCTGCTAATTTCCAAGTTGTTTACTGTCACTGGGCTTTATTAATTAGTGCAGCTGTCAGATAACACAAAAGAAAACAGTTTAAGAGTTTAAACAGTTTAAACCCCAACATTTCTTCTCTTTGTATTTTGATCAAATGAAGACAGCCTGCTAGAACCTTCCCTTTATTAAAGTGGAATATGAAAATCAATTTCTCTGTTTTTCATAGATAAAAAAGTGCTCCTTGAATTTGTTGGTCCATGCTAGCATTGAAAAATCATAACTTCTTGAAAATAGGTAGCGTGCACTGAAAAAGCTGATGAACTGTGCATTTTTCTGGTGTAAGTTGTGTGCAAAGTGGTACCAGGGATTGCTTTTCCTCAGTATATTTGTCTATCAAGGCGCTTAGAGCTAATTAAATGCCTGACATTTTGCAGCTCTCAAGATTATTTTCTGGTGTGAGTATGTAAGTATAGGATCAGTAAAATAAGACAAGCTTTAAAAATCAGATCAGTACTTAGGCATTGTTTTGGATAGTCATGGGACCATCTCCTCAGCTGCTACAAACTGTTGTACTCCACTGAGTTCACGTGGGTGTCAACAGTCTGCAGCAGAGCATTGAGCCCCCAGGTCTTTTTGTTTAATACAGACACTAACACCATGGATTTGAACAGGCTGGGGTTTTTTATTATTATTTTATTCCAAATGTTTTACTTTTTCTTGTGAAATGTGTGCTCTTGTAATTTTGATTTTCTGAAGTTTACATTCAGTTTTTGATTTCAGATTGCACATTTAGATAAAATAAATGGTTTTCTAAGCTTACAGTTGTATAAGAAGTAAAAGGATGACTCTGCCAATATATTAAACCTAAGAGAGAAATGTATTACTGTAACACAGGAACTCTTCAGACATAAGGCAATCCCATTAAAGATGATTTAACCTAATCATTGATCAGTTTTCTCTGTGTATTTAAAATATGGGAGCAGGATATATAGGGAGCACACTATAGAAAAAGATAACTTTCCATCATGAACTCAATTATTACCAAATAAACTAAGTTTCATTATTATTGACGTGCTTTCTTGTGTGTTTAGAGGTTCATTGACAAAGAGTCGCTGTGACATATATCCTTCAAGTGCTAAATTTACAGCATGTTTTAAAATTCCAAACAAAGTAAGTTGTAGAGAAACATTGCACTGTTACACTGTAGAAGACTTTTCAAAAGACCAGTGTTTTGCTTTCTAGCCAAAACCATGGTTCTGAGCCTGCAAATACAATTTTATGCAAGTTATTTTTACTCTTGCAAATAAGACCATGAAAGGTAATGGGATTATCTGCATAAGCAAAAAAAAAAAAAAACCAACACTGATGTGAAAAAGAAATTGTAGATATGCATTTTAAGTTTGTTGTAAGATGCCAATCAAGTTCTAGAAGTTTCAGCCTTGAACAGTTATGCAAGATATGTGAACATATTTTAACATGGAGAATATATTCCTAATTTCCATTGATGCCGTTTCTCACAGTTAAAGGGTTGTAAAGCATAAGAAAGCTTACTGAGAGCTTTCTTGTGCTTATCAGATGTTTGTCTTTTACATAACAGAATCTGAGAACAAACACAAGTTTTCTGGGCTGTCAGGAGCTTATAACAATAGCGACAACAAACAGAAGTACTGTCTTCAAAGAAGTGCCTTGTGTATTAAATTCTGTAAGAAACAAGTTGATGTAAATGTTAATTTACCTCATATGTTTACAAAATCGTGACTAAATAAACTTTTTGTACCATGGCATTGTCTCTTTTAGATTAAATTTTCATGGTTGTATAGATGGTCTTTTAAAATTGTAATGCATTTCTGTCACTGGGCTTTTTTAATTAATGCAGCTAATTACTAATATGCTAAAGAGAACTCACTTGCCTCTGACCAAGAGCACTTTTTACTACAATGTATGTGGCCAGAATAATGTTGCATACTTTCTGTTTAGATGAAAGACTCATTGCAAAGTTCCACAGTTTTGTCACTTGAGGAACAGCCAAGGTACTCCCAAGACAGCTGATAGCATCAGCTGGTGCAGATGCAGGCTGTGTGCTGGGCTCTCCCTCCCTCGGGACACAGCCACACCATCATCACCTCACAGCCACTGTCTCCCAAAGAATTTCTGACTGGAGTATGAAATACGGATGTTCTGCTCTTTATCTCTGCAGGTTTTTGTGATGGTGTGGGTACTTTGCTGCCACATAGAGCAAAGCAGCTTGATGGAGGAGAGGTAAAAGGTGTGCCCCTTTCAGGTGCCATCCACAGCTGTGTAAGGGTACAGCACAGAGCCTAATGGTAATGGGAAGAGGTGTACTGGGGAGCTCTCTAACCTCCTACAGTAAATCTCAGTACAATTGTGCTGATAGCCAAATGAGAGCATCCCCCACACTCTTGTACTGCTGCTATTGTCCCCAGGGCACTGGCACAAGAACAATCAGCTGGGCTTTAGCAAGCATTTTCACTGTGACTGTGCTAAGAATGGGATTTAACTAAGCTCATCAGTGCTTTCCCACTCCCTATCCCAGCAGAATAGGAATATATATTGTCTGCCAAGGAAACAGATGTCAGATAGTCAGGTCTTAGTAGGGATGACATTTTCATCATTTTTGGCAACTGGATGTGCATCAGGTCTAACCATCTTTGTATCTATTTTCAGCTGACAATAGAGTAAACAGATGCTTATCCAATATCATAAAATTGAAGAGAGAGTCTTCCCATAAAGACGGCCTAGGAAGAATGTGTTATCCCTGGAGTGTCATAGTCCAAGAAAACAGGGTGTTTGAGGAAATACACATTTTAGCACTTACAGGTATGTGATATTAGATATTATGCCAGATTACAGGTAACTTTAAGTACTGTTACTGCATTAGTAGAACAGTTGGATTGCACCAGCTGTTCTTCATTGTGTAAATTGTTTGGGTTTTTTTAATTTTTAGAAATAAATTAGTGGCATATAGGAACAAAACATTGTCCTTCATGGGTAGTTACCTCCTTTTCTTTTTCTTGTGGTAGGTGATCTGTGTATTTTTGTGTCACTAGCAGTAGTACAGGGTCTATCAGAACTATTTTTAGTATCTAGAGGAGAATCTTCAACATGTGGGCTTTCACCGTCCCTTGTTTTTAAGGGTGACCCTCATCACTTGTGATAGTGACTACAGTTGTGGCTAAAGCGCCTGGTGCCATCGCAAGCAGGAATAAGCAGGCTAACACCAAGGTCACAGAGATCAGCCTGAACTCAGTTTGTCTGCATCACTGACATAGCCACCTCTAACCTATGTGTGGTAGGTGCCTTTTCTCATCCAGATCTCTGTCATTTTTGAGATTGTCTCTGGAGAAAAAACCCCAATCAAATGAATACCTGCAGTTCTTCATCCTCGCTATTTATTTGTCCCAAGAAAGTATGGTAAAATATATTAAAATGTCTAGATCTTTGAATTTCTACGTAGTGTGAGACATGGCTTTTTAAAGAGTGCGTGTGCTATCTACAATATATGTTTGAAAATACCAAGGGCTTAAGAAGTTCAAACTCTCAAAAGGACAATACACTTTTCTGTGGAATGCATTTATCCTGTGTTTGCACCAGATTCACCAAAGTCAGTCAACAGATGGAGTAAAGTGAAATAAAACCTTACTTTCCATGTGAGCTTGTATTTTTATACCTCTCAATTAAATGAAAACTGAACTGGAAGAGCACAGAGTTATCAGCTATCATACATCTCACTGCCCAGTTGGAAAAGATTAAACTTTCTAAAGATTTTGGCTTTAAGGAATGTTGTGGTCTTCTGTGCAGATACTAAGGGATAATCATGGTTGAACTATCCAGCCACACAGAGTAA